GGTGCTGGGGGGGGCTGGGGGAGGCGCGGGGGGGCACTGGGGGGCACTGGGAGGGACTGGAGGGCAAGGAATTCAACCGGAGAATCCGGAACGAGCGCGGGGAGGTGACTGGGAGGGACTGGGAGGGACTGGGAGCGGGATTGGGGGGTACTGGGGGACACTGGGAGGGACTGGGAGCACTGGGAGGGACTGGGAGCACTGGGAGGGACTGGGAGCACTGGGAGGGGGTCTCTGGGGGGTCTCCTGGGGGTCTCAAGCCCCCCCAGGTGGAGCAGGAACACCTGGCCAAGGTGTGTGGGGATGTTCTGGGGTGGCTCAGGTGACCCTGAGGGGTCTTTGGGGGTCTCGGGGGGGTCCCTGGGGGTCTCGAGGGGGTCCCCGGGGGTCTCGGGGGGGTCTCTGGGGGGTCTCGAGGGGTCCCCGGGAGGTCTCTGGGGGTCTCGGGGGGTCCCTGGGGGTCTCACCCCCTCCCCAAACCCCCCCAGGTGGAGCAGGAGCGCCTGGACAAGGTGTGGCCCAAGCTGCGGGTCCTGGCGCGCTCATCGCCCACCGACAAACACACCTTGGTCAAAGGTGGGAATTCGGGGAGGGGTCCCGGGGCTGGGAATTCGGGGAGGGGTCCCGGGGCTGGGAATTCGGGGAGGGGTCCCGGGGCTGGGAATTCGGGGAGGGGGCTGTGCCGGAGGGTCCGCAGCCCCCCACGTCCGCAGGGATCATCGAGAGCACGCTCGGGGAGCAGCGCCAGGTGGTCGCGGTCACCGGCGACGGCACCAACGACGGCCCCGCCCTCAAAAAGGCCGACGTGGGGTTCGCCATGGTAACGCCCCCTCCCCAAATTGGGACCTCGGGACCCCTCCCCAAATTGGGACCCTGCCCCGAACTGGGACCTCGGGACCCCTCCTCAAATTGTGATCCCCGCCCCGAATTGGGATCCACTCCCCGAAATGGCACCTCCTCCTCAAATTGGGACCCCCGCCCCGAATTGGGACCCTGGGACCCCTCCTCAAATTGGGACCCCCACCACGAATTGGGACCTTGGGACCCCTCCCCAAATTGGGACCCCCACCACGAATTGGGACCTTGGGACCCCTCCCCAAATTGGGACCCCCACCACGAATTGGGACCTTGGGACCCCTCCCCAAATTGGGACCCTGCCCCGAACTGGGACCTCGGGACCCCTCCTCAAATTGTGATCCCCGCCCCGAATTGGGATCCACTCCCCGAAATGGCACCTCCTCCTCAAATTGGGACCCCCGCCCCGAATTGGGACCCTGGGACCCCTCCTCAAATTGGGACCCCCACCACGAATTGGGACCTTGGGACCCCTCCCCAAATTGGGACCCCCACCACGAATTGGGACCCCCAGCCCAAAATGGAACCCCCTCCTCAAATTGGGACCCTGCCCCGAATTGGGACCCCCGCCCCGAAATGGGACCTCGGGACCCCTCCCCAAATTGGGACCCCTCCCCAAATTTGGATCTGCTCCTCGAAATGGGAGCCCCGGGACCCCTCCCCAAATTGGGATCCCCTTCTCGACATGGGACCCTGGGAGCCCCTCCCCTGATTGGGACCCCTCCTTAAAATGGGGTCACCTGTGGTCACCTGTGGTCACCTTGGGGATCTACCACAGGGTTCCTCATCCTTGTGGTCACCTGTGGGTCACCTGTGGTCACCTTGGGGTCACCTGTGGGTTACCTGTGGGTCACCTGTGGTCACCTGTGGGTCACCTGTGGTCACCTTGGGGTCACCTGTGGGTCACCTGTGGGTTACCTGTGGTCACCTGGGGGTCACCTGTGGTCAGCTGGGGGGTCACCTGTGGGTTACCTGTGGTCACCCGGGGGTTACCTGTGGTCACCTGGGGGTCACCTGGGGGTCACCTGGTGTCACCTGTCCGTGTCCCCCAGGGCATCGCGGGCACGGACGTGGCCAAGGAGGCCTCGGACATCATCCTGACCCCTGTGGCCACCTGTGGTCACCTTGGGGTCACCTTGGGGTCACCTGTGGGTCACCTGTGGGTTACCTGTGGTCACCTGGGGGTCACCTGGTGTCACCTGTCCGTGTCCCCCAGGGCATCGCGGGCACGGACGTGGCCAAGGAGGCCTCGGACATCATCCTGACCCCTGTGGCCACCTGTGGTCACCTTGGGGTCACCTTGGGGTCACCTGTGGGTCACCTGTGGGTTACCTGTGGTCACCTGGGGGTCACCTGGTGTCACCTGTCCGTGTCCCCCAGGGCATCGCGGGCACGGACGTGGCCAAGGAGGCCTCGGACATCATCCTGACCGACGACAACTTCTCGAGCATCGTCAAGGCCGTCATGTGGGGCCGCAACGTCTACGACAGCATCGCCAAGTTCCTGCAGTTCCAGCTGACCGTCAACGTGGTGGCCGTGGTGGTGGCCTTCACCGGGGCCTGCGTCACGCAGGTGAGCTCACCTGGACAGGTGGGACACCATGGGGGGAATGGTGGTGGCCTTCACCGGGGCCTGCGTCACGCAGGTGAGCTCACCTGGACAGGTGGGACACCATGGGGGGAATGGTGGTGGCCTTCACCGGGGCCTGCGTCACGCAGGTGAGCTCACCTGGACAGGTGGGACACCATGGGGGGAGATCATCTGGACAGGTGGGACATGGAGGGGAGATCACCTGTCCCACCTGTCCCACCTGTCCCACCTGTCCCACCTGTCCCATCTTACCTGTCCCACCTGTTCCATCCCACCTGTCCCACCTGAGCTCACCTGATCTCAGCTGACCCACCTGAGCTCACCTGTCCCACCTGTCCCATCTCACCTGTCCCACCTGATCTCACCTGTCTCACCTGTCCCACCTGTCCCATCTCACCTGTCCTCACCTGTCCCACCTGTCCCACCTGTCCCATCTCACCTGTCTCACCTGTCCCACCTGTCCCACCTGTCCCACCTGTCCCAGGACTCCCCTCTGAAGGCGGTGCAGATGCTGTGGGTGAACCTCATCATGGACACCTTGGCGTCGCTGGCTCTGGCCACGGAGCCGCCCACGGAGGCGCTGCTGCTGCGCCGGCCCTACGGCCGCGACCACCCGCTGGTGTCCGGCACCATGCTGCGCAACATCCTGGGCCACGCCCTCTACCAGCTGCTGGTCATCTTCACCCTGCTCTTCGCTGGTCAGTGGTCACCTGGGGTCACCTGGGGTCACCTGGGGTCACCTGGGGTCACCTGGGGTCATGGGGACATGGTGGGGACATCCTGGGCCACGCCCTCTACCAGCTGCTGGTCATCTTCACCCTGCTCTTCGCTGGTCAGTGGTCACCTGGGGTCACCTGGGGTCACCTGG